ACTGGATGCCATTAAACTCTGTCACTTTTATTGATAGTGTATTTATTATGAAGATTTACACTGATCATAAGAGTCTGGAAGTGGCTGTACTGAGAGCAACAGACTAATGCAAGTGCTGGTCTCATTTCTCTGATATACTTGTTGGTGAAACATACAACAGGATGGTGTATTTTTTTGGATTATTATATATTCAGACAAAAAAATAAAATAAATTGTACATTGCAATGTATAGGCCAGATAAATTGACATAACTCAGTTGATAAAAATGGAGCTAAGCTGGTTTACTCTAACTAAAGATCTGGCCATTGTGCTTTAGCACTTCTTTGACTATTATTTTACCTTAACTTTTAAAATATTCCAGAAGACAGACACTTCTAAAATCATCCACTGCAGCTTTAGTTAGCCAGCTTCTGTAAGGTTTCAAATATATTACTTTGATAATAATTTTACTTGCTGTATTTTGCTAATAATGTTAATTGAAACCATGATTCTGGTCTCTTGTGTTTATTAAGATCACATGGCACTTTGAGCAACTGTAGCCATGTTAGATCCCAATGTCTTGGCAAAATTCCGATTTAAGTCGATTCTGCATACGTCACTTTCAGTTAGTTTTGGCACATGTGATGCTCACGTGCACTGTTAAACCCGGGGGGGCTCCTGCTTAATTAGCTTGTTTTTTACATAGCTGGTTTTACAGCTGATTCATGAGGCAAAACAGGTCAAAGTAACTTGTGCAAGACCATTCCCACTGACATCAAGGGTAATTTTGTTACTGACATCAATGGAATCTGTAACTCAATTTTGTAGAGGCAGCATAGTCTAAACTAGGATAGGAGGTAGGATCTAATTTTCTTACCAGCCTCTTCTATTGACCTGCTGTGTGAATTTAGTTCACCTTTGACCTTGTATGTGTTGTGTATTTAGATTTTAAACCCCTTGGGGGCAAAGCTTATGCTGGTAAAGTATCTAGTACAATGGTAGCCCATTCTCTGTTGAAGCCTCTACATACTGCCTTAATCAACATAAGAACATAAGAATGACCATACTGAGTCAGACCAAAGGTCCATCTAGCCCAGTATCCTGTCCTCCGACAGTGGCCAATACCTGACAACCCAGAGGGAGGGATCACAACAGGTAATCCTCACATGATCCCTCCCCTGTCACCCACCTCCAGAGAATCAAAGGCTAGAGACACCATTCCTACCCATCCTGGCTAATAGCCATTGATGGACCTAACCTCCATGAATCTAGCTCTTTTTTGAACCCTGTTAAAATTCTAGCCTTCGCCACATCCTCTGGCAAGGAGTTCCACAGATTAACTTTGTGCTGTGTGAAGAAAAACTTCCTTTTGTTTGTTTTAAACCTGCTGCCTATTAATTTCATTTGGTGACCCCTAGTTCTTTTATTGTGGGAATAAGTAAATAACTTTTCCTTATCCACTTTTTCCATACCAGTCATTATTTTATAGACCTCTATCATATCCTCTCTTAGTCTCTTCTTTTCTAAGCTGAAAAAGTCCAAGTCTTTTAAATGTCTCTTCATATGGGACCCATTCCAAACCCCTAATCATTTTTGTTGCCCTTTTCTGAACCTTTTCCAATGCCAATATATCAAGGACCTTTCTAGCATAGACATTGATTCTGTAGATGCTCCAAGGCTGGAGCACCCATGGAGAAAAATTCAGGGCTGTAGAAGGACTTTTCTAGCATAGACATTGACTCTGTAGATGCTCCAAGGCTGGAGCACCCATGGAGAAAAATTCAGGGCTGTAGTGCATCCACTAGCACCAAGTTCCCTCCTCTCCGTAGCACCTCTTACCCATTGTTGGCCCTGCAAACCTACTCCTTCCCCTCCCTCACAGCACTTCTAGAGTGCCACAAATAGCTGATTCATGGCACTTAAGCTCCAGGAGGGAGGGAGGAAGGGAGGAAAATGAGCTGAGGGGGGGGCACTTTTTGAGGAGGAGGTGGGGAAGAGTCTGAGCGGGGGTAAAGTGGGAAGTGGGAAGAGGCAGGGTAGAGACCTGGGGGAAAAGGTGAAGTGGGGGATGTGACCTGGAGTGGAGGGAAAGGGGTAAAGTGGGGAGTGGAAAGAGGCAGGGTGGAGACCTGGGGGATGTGACCTGGAGTGGAGGGAAGGAGTCGAGAATCCCCCAGAAAGTTGAGACTTTGGCACCTATGCTTTCTATAACTCGTTCGTTTATGCCATACCAAAGATTCTCTTTCCAGTCTGTGAAAAAGACTCACATTAAAAATGTCTTCTAGTTTAAATGATTCTACTCACATGAGAAACATTTTTTATACTTAATATGCGGAATTCTAACAGAACCAACAGTATCCTCAACACAGTAGACATATCCACAGAAGATGGATATAATAGATGAACAAATATGAAAATAGAATAGTAATTTAATCTCAGAAATCTTCAGAAGAAATCAAAATGAAATCCAATTGCATGCCGTACACAATTGGAATTTAATCATAATCGCTTACTGAAGCAAGACAAAAGAGAATTGTTTGTCTTAACCAGCAAATTAAATCAGAAGCAGTGAGGTCCAATGGAGAAGTTACCAATAATTTATTATTATTAAATAAACTACTGAAAGTGCTTTCTTGCTTGCATGCTGGCCCATCGTGATATGATCATCTGTTTTTAAAAGTCTTGTCTAACGGAAGAATATGTGAGCTCATCAGGAAATCCATTGCAAACGTGTAAATTTGAGATGCAGTGGCAATATATTTTCCTAACTTTATCTTTTACACTTAAGCTCACAAGGTAGTGATTTAAGTTCCACATGTGCAGTTGGTGATCACAAGGAAAAAAAGGCAGGGAGACTGTGGATTCTGTTCTAACGCTGAAAGATAAAAGGGGGGGACAAGTTGCACTAAAAGTGTCAGAAGCATAGTCATCATGAATCAGTTTTTTCACATGGATTGTTCTAGCCTGGAGATAAAAAAAGCAACTGTAACTCTCCGGTCAATGTACGTTTCCCCTCCCTCCCAGTGCCCAGTCCACAGAGGTTATGGATCTGTCACAGCTGGTAGTTTGAGAACATAGCACTGTGGCACAAGCTGTCGAGACTCGTACTTTCATCTCTGGAGATTCCGGGGCTGTGAGCCAAAATGGCAGCAGTCACACATCTGCATATAAATGATATTCCTAAAAGATTTGGGCTGGGATTTTCAAAAGAACTTTAAAGCTTGACAGTCAATGCGGGTTGGGCATCATCTTTGAAAACATCAGCTTTAAAGACTAAACTTATGTGATTAAAGGAGTCTGAGATCAGACAAGAGAGAAAATAAAATAAGTGTTTATAGATGAGTTTGAAGAAGAGCAAGAGCCCTTTCCAGACTATATAACTTGTGCTTCATTTATTGGTCTATGGTGAGGGTGAAGGGTATATATCAATGACTATGACGTAGAGAGATTCATTCAGAATGTTTATTTTTGGTCAGACCAAAGCAACAGCTCATGGACCTTTATACATATATCCACATTTACATCTTAGGCCACTGGCATCTTAGGGTATGTCTACACAGCAAAGTTATTTCAAAATAACTTTACTAGTGTCTACAAAGCCAAACGGCTATTTCAAAATTAATTTGAAATAGTGGAGCGCTTATTTCGAATTTGGTAAACCTAATTCCATGAGGAACAACGCCAAATTCGAAATAGCTATTTCAAAATAAGTGCTGCGTAGACTCTTATACCGAAATAGGGAGCCTCCAGCCTTCCCAAGGTGCCCTGGTGGCCACTCCAGTCTCAACCAAGAACACTCCTCTCTTCCCCCCTTCCCGGAGATCTTAAAGGGATTGATTCTGGCCACAGTGCCTGTGCCAGCTCCAAGCCTGCCAGCCCAGAGCCAGCAGTCACTGCCCCTGAGCCAGAAGGACCAAAAAAGCCACTGGCAGCCAGCCCTCCATCACTCCCCAGGAGCAGTCTGCCAGCTCCCATGAGCCTGCCAGGTCCCGGAGAAGGCGGGTGTCTTCCTGGTCCAGGGTGGAGATCATGAACCTTATTCAGGTTTGTGGGGGGATGCCCTCAACGTCCATGATCCCTGCACTAGACAGAGGAACGCGGCCATCTATGGCAGGATAGCTGCCAGCCTGGCCACCAAAGGCCACATGCGAACCCAGGAGCAGGTTTGCATGAAAATCAAGTTGGTCCGGCGAGACCCCCAACCCTGAGACCTGAGCTTCCCCTCCACCTTCTTCCCCTTGCTTCCCCCTTCCAGCTCCCTCCTCCAAGGTTTCCCCCTCCCCTCTCCCACCCTCTCTTCTCCCCTCTCCCACTTCCTTTCCCCAGTCTCACCAGAGTTTCATTCACCCCCCCCCAGTTTTGTTAAATAGAGTTTGTATTCATGAAAATACATGTATTTTATTTGACATCAGGAAGGGAGTTAGGGAGGGGTAAGTGGAAGGACGTGAAGGAGGAATGAGGCACAAGCCCCCAGTGGGGCAGGCCAGGGAGGCTCTTAGTGCTCCTCAGGGTGGACGCTCTCCCTCAGGGTCTCCTGGATACTGACAGCCCCTGGATGGACCTCCCGGATGGCAGCCTGCAGAAAGTGCAGCCAGGCTCGCAGCACCGCATCCATGAGAAGCACCAGAGTGCCCAGGGGCAGCTCTGGCTCCATGTTGCAGAGTGCTGTAGTCAAATGATCAACAGTCATGTTGCTTTATGTCTCCCATTGGGAATGTGATAAAACAAAGTGGACTATTTCAGATTCTTAGGAAATTAAACCAAACCTAAAGCCAGCCTTAATATGACTCCATCAATAAGAAAGTAATGCTAAAATATCCAAGAGCTTGTTAACAAATGTCCCAATTTGTGGATTAAAACTCAGGGAAATGTTTAGATAATGATGAGATATGATTGTCAAATATCCTTAATTCAGATACATGGTTCATGGGAGCATTGCTTGTATGACTGGCTTTTTAAAGTTATTATTTAAATTGACATTTTTTACATTTTTTATGACATGCATGTTTTATGTTCCTCAGATAAATGGGAAACCTCTTCAGTACATTTTCCCTCATGCAAGACTCAAACTGCTGAGAGACCCAAAGGATCACACAGTGTCAGGTAAAAATAAAAAAAAATAAAACTCAAACAAAATTGCACCTGGTTGTACTAGAATGCTTATTAAGTAGCATGTACATGGTTTGATTTGCTAATGATGGTTGTTCAGTCCTATGAGCCAAGAAATGTACTACTCATTTTAAATGTTTTTAGTGATAACAGAAAACTGTGACATAGAAAAAGGACCACAGGACTGTTAAAAATAGATAAATTACTGCAAACAATTTTATACTGAAAATATATAAGCAACTTGGCTATGTCAGTGAAAGATATCAGGGGGTTTTATTTGTTATTTTATATGTCTGTCATGTTTATATGACAAACTTGTATAGAATATAATAGAGAAAAAGACATCAGGGCTGTGTCTACATTGGCAAGATTTTGCGCAAAAGCAGCCACTTTTGCGCAAAATCTTGCCGCCTGTCTACACTGGCTGGGGGGAATTTGTAATGTACAAAATCAGTGGCTCTTGTACAAATACTCTGACGCTCCCGCTCAGGAATAAGCCCTCTTGCGCAAGTATTCTTGCACAAGAGGGCCAGTGTAGACAGCAACGTTAATTTCTTGCGCAAGAAAGCCCGATGGCTAAAATGGCCATTGGAACTTTCTTCTGCAAGAGAGTGTCTACACTGGCCCAGATGCTTTTGCGCAAAAGCAAATCTTTTGCACAAAGGCACATGCCAGTATAGATGCTCTCTTGCACAAATACTTTTAACGGAAAAACTTTTCATTTAAAGGTATTTGCGCAAAATTATGCCAGTGTAGACACAGCCTAAGGGTCTAAAGAAATTGAATAGGCTGTGTTGAAATTCAAACCTGAAGAATTTGATAAAGAATTCTGCTTTTTTTTTAGAGTTTCTGGAGTTACCCTAGATAAGTTGTGTAATTCTGTATTAAATTATATGATAGTTAAAATGCCTATATAAAAATAATTACTTTCTAATTATATTTTACAGAAACTTTTCTCCCTCGTCAGTGTGTGTGTGTGTGTGTGTGTGTGTGTGTAGAAAGAGATGTGTCTCTGTGTGTAGAGAAGGAGACCAGCTGAGAGCGGCTATGTGTTATTTTGTATGCTATTGCATGCTCTGTAATCAGAATCAGTGCTATACTATAATTCTTCTGTCAGAGTGTAAAAACACTGTATATTTCAAGATCTAATAGGTGCTAGGTCAGTTTGTTGTTTTTCAGTTTTGTATTTTTTTTAATAAGACACTGTATTGATTAGGAATTAAGTGTTTTTCATTGGAGATGTATGCTATTTATATTCTGCCAGAGGTATAATTTAGCTTTGTGGTTTTGTTGCAGAACAATCAGACTTGCTCTTAACTACTATCAAAAAATCTAATAGCATATGTCAAAATCCACTTCTGTCTGGAAATAATTACTTGTTGCTAAGCATTGGTTTCCTTCCAGCATTTAATGGAAAGTAGCACCATGCTTTGTGCATTGCTATATATTTCTTTACCAGCATTTTTGGTTGAAAAATCTCGATTATTTTCTCACCTCCTTCCCCAGTCTTTTCAGTATGTAAATAAGTTGGCCACTCCAATGTACCCCTTGGTAACAGGGGTGCCTCTGCACTGTCCTGATTTGTATCTGTCCTTTTTCAGGCCCCTTTAATCAGAGACTACACATTTTCTCTTTCAATCAACACTGTTATTCATAGAATCATAGAATTATAGTCTGTGTCTACATTGGCACCCCTTTCCGGAAAAGGGATGCTAATGAGACACTTCGGAATTGCAAATGCCGCGGGGGATTTAAATATCCCCCGCGGCATTTGCATGAACATGGCTGCTGCTTTTTTCCGGCTCGGGGCTTTGCGGGAGAAAAGCGCCAGTCTAGACGGGATCTTGCGGAAAATAAACCCTTTTCCGGAAGATCCCTTATTGCTACTTGAAAGTATTTATTCCAGTGCTTAACCACTGACAGTTAGGAACTTTTTCCTAATGTCCAACCTAAACCTCCCTTGCTGCAGTTTAAGCCCATTGCTTCTTGTACTATCCTCAGAGGCCAGGAAGAACAAGTTTTCTCCCTTCCCCTTGTGACATCCTTTTAGATTCCTGAAAACTACTATCATGTTCCCTCTCAGTTTTCTCTTTTCCAAGCTAAACAAGCCTAATTATTTCAGTTTTCTTTCATAGGTCATGTTCTCTAGACCTTCAGTCATTCTTGTTGCTCTTCTCTGGACCTTCTCCAATTTCTCCACATCTCAGACCATTTCTCCAATTTGTCCAGATCATTTTAAATTATGACCCTATCCTCCAAAGCAGTTGCAACCCCGCCCAGCTTGCTATAATCTGCAAATTTAACGAGCATACTCTGTATGCTGATATCTAAATAGTTGATGAAGATATTGAACAGAACCAGTCCCAAAACAAACCCCTTTGGAACCCCACTTGTTATACCTTCCCAACAGAATTGTGAACCTGGGCCTGGCTATATTCAAACAAATTACAGTGAAGGCTTTTTTACCCGGCACACTGATAACCAGAAAACTTTGTTAACCAGCCTGTCCCCAGCCAAAATACTGCCACTTCTTCAAGTGCATGCTCCTGAATTCTGCCTGTCCAGCTTGTCCTTACAGGGATTCTGACAATCAGCATTGCCAGCTGACACCATCAGCAGGTGCCTCCCTCCCCCTCAGCCTGCCTCAAGCTTCCAGGAGCCAGATCTGCTGGTAGGGGCCAGGGGTGAGAAATAAGCTTTGTTATCCAGCAGATTCAGTTAACTGACAGGCCCCATTCCCTGTGAGTGACAGATAACAAAGCTTTCACTGTAATTCAAAAAGCGAATGTAAAAGTCCATCCCAGAGCCCTCTTTTGGTTCTTAGTACATGCCCCACTCTGGGCTTTGCCTTGTCTCTGCCTTGTTCAGAGCTGACTCTCTTACAAATATCCCACAGTCTCTAATGAGGCTCTCTCGGGGCTCTTATGAGGAACCAGAAGCTTCAGGTTCTCTCCCTGCACCTGAATATTTTGCTGAGGAGTTCAAGTCTCCTGCCTCTTTCGCTCCCATGGCTTTCTCACAGGGGCTACGTCTAGACTGGCATGATTTTCCGGAAATGCTTTTAACGGAAAAGTTTTCCGTTAAAAGCATTTTCAGAAAAGAGCGTCTAGATTGGCACAGACGTTTTTCTGCAAAAGCACTTTTTGTGGAAAAGCATCCATGGCCAATCTAGACACGCTTTTGCGCAAAAAAGCCCCGATCACCATTTTTGTGACAAACGGGAGCAGCATAGTATTTCCGCAAAAAGCACTGATTTCTTACAGTAGGAAGTCAGTGCTTTTGCGGAAATTCAAGCGGCCAGTGTAGACAGCTGGCAAGTTTTTCCGGAAAAGCGGCTGATTTTCCGGAAAAACTGGCCCGGTCTAGACACAGCAGTTTTCTCTCTGTGTACTTCCGTGGCATTAATTGCTACAGAACAAATATAGCACCCACTGATTAACCGAAATTATGTAGTGCTCCCTTTATCCTAGACTCTAACATTTAAAAGGATAGTTCATATCCAGTGTACAGTCTGGGGCTCCTGGCATAAACTGGGGTTACTTGCAGTCTTCCTGGGGATTTCTTGCCCAGCAGGGGAATGCATAATAGTGAAATCCAAGCTGTTCACTTCCTGCAGAACAGGTGAAACTAGTTACCTCATGGTTTTATTTTACAGAGGGCTCGATTCTCTTCCCACTGTTGTGTGCTCTTATTTACACTTCTTCTCAGGAACCCTCCACTTTACTCATAACTATGGCAGCGTTTCACACTAAGGGCACATCTACACTACAGCGTTATTTTGAAATAACTCATATTATTTCAAAGTAACAAGATGAGTGCCCACACAGCAAGCTCGTTATTTTGTAATTAGTTTGAAATAATAGGCTTCTTATTCCAGAATAATAAACCCACATTTCATGAGGAATAATGCCTATTTTGAAATTGCTATTGCTAATCCTTGGGGCCATTCAGAGTCCTCGGTGCTTCCTGGGGCTCTAAATTGAGGTAGTGCATCCACATTAGGTGAGCCTGCCTCAGATTAATTTTGAGTCTTCCCTGTAGTGTGGCCGTGTTATTTCTAAATAGTTATTTCAGGATTTATTTTATTTATTTTATTATTTCAAAATAACGTATTTCAAAATATCTTAGTAGTGTAGACATACCCTAAGTGTGCTCAAAAGTAAATCATCACACAGGGTGAGAAGCAATGGAAAATCAAGCCCTGTATTTTTAATTCCCCTTCACCTCCTCATACTCTCAGGCTACATCGTAAAAGGGATGCAAATTAGACGTATCGCAATTGCTAATGAAGTGGGAATTTAAATCTCCCCCGCTTCATTAGAATAAAAATGGCTGCCACTTTTTTTTGGCACGGAGCTTTGCTGGAAAAAAGTGCCAGTTTAGACACGGATATTTCGGAAAATAAAGCCTTTTCCGAAAGATCCCTTATCCCTCTTAAAATAAGGGATAAAGGATCTTTCGGAAAAGGCTTTATTTTCCAAAAGATCCGCATCTAGACGGGCGCTTTTCTCCATGCCAAAAAAAAGTGGCAGCCATTTTTATGCTAATGAAGCGGGGGAGATTTAAATTCCCACTTCATTAGCAATTGCGATACGTCTAATTTGCATCCCTTTTACAAAAAAGACATCCAATCTAGACGTAGCCTCAGTATATAGGGTTATTTTTCTCAGGCTTCTTCAGCCACTGTGATAATGTGCTATCTAGGGTGCTGTTGCTGTTCACAAAATAAATCACCATGAAACAAGGTACAACTCGTCTATGGGAATCACCAGTCTCCAATTTAAAATTATTTGTGTACATGAACTCATGGGCTCCTAAGTAGTGAGTTAGCACAAGCAGACAGAGTCCCTGCAATGGCAACACAGGCATGAGTTCAGTAACAACAGAGCAACATGAATGTATTACAGGAAGAGAATTCAGAGGTATCTCCCCAGGTGCCTACAGGTACCAGGAGAGAGACTCCCAAATTCTCTACTTTTTCTCAACTCTGAGTG